AAGCCGCGACTCGCAGTTCCAAATATGCATCGGCGCTCTGCGCTGACGCTCCTTTCTTCTGTGTGTGTGTGTGTGTGTGTGTGTGTGTGTGTGTGTGTGTGTGTGTGTATATATATATGTAAATAAAAAACAAAAATAAGGGGTCAACAGTGACATATAAGTTAAGTTGCCTTATCTGTTCTACCTTTAGACCAACTTTGTCCCAGAGGTGCTGCTGCCTAATGGCATGAACATGCGTCCTGTTGGATTACTGTAAGTACAAACCAACATTGAAACAGTCCCTGCAACTTTAGACAAACTTTTCATGCATCTGTGTGGCTATGTCTCTTTGTTTAGGAATGGAGAGCTTTTGTACAAAGTTACGGCTCCTCCTAACATTGCTGCTCCCCTTCCTGCCAACGTTCCCAAGATAAAGTAAGGCAATTAGCAGTAGGAAATAAAATGATGGTGTTGGATAGACATGTTTATTTATTTGCAAGACCATGGAGACCTGTGGGTCTCAGCTGTTGTTAGCCTGGGGCCAGCCTCGTGCTATTGTTGCAGAGTCACACCACATTTTATAGACGTTACCAACAATAAAGCATTGTTGTGGTTGTTGTTATTTAAAAATAGCCTCTGAAAATAAACGTACAATATGTGACATTTTTAAATGCAGTTACAAATGAGTTTGACTTGTTGCGAGCCAAAAGCTTAGCCGCACCGTGTAGCTCGTGAGTAGAGCACAAGTGTGTAACATATCCTGACACTCTCCCAATATTCTACGTTCCATGTGAGAACTCGGTAACACCTCAGTACTGTTCTGAAACAAAATCTGAAGACAAATACATATAATTTTTTTAATAGCCGTCTGTGACACACCCCAAATGTGTCCGCGACCCACCTGTTGAGAATCACAGGTATACACTTTTGTATTTCGAGTTGTGCCAGTTTTTTTTATCTGTTTAAAATGATTACATTAATGTCCTCGGTGCATTACATGTCAGATGTATCTGATACTCTAATACTGTATTGCAGGAAGAAATCTAAAAAAGTGGAAGACCAAGTCACAGAGCAAACCTATGTCAAGAAGCCTCTAAATGCCTTCATGTTGTTCTCGAAAGAACATAGACAAGCAGTCAAGGCCAAGTCTGCTTCAACAAATATTGCTGTTATAAATGAGACCTTAGGAAAAATGGTAAGTGCTCACATTCTGTTAAGCAAAATTGAGAGGTGGCAGAAACTAAGGCAGTAAGGACCGGACGTCTGGCTTGGAAGGCTGCATTTCCAAGCTTTTAAGTTTCACGAAAATGTGGAGTTGGGACTGTCTGCTGGACAGAGGCCGGTTCACTTCTATACATTTGCTCTTCAGCAGATAACACACGTACTCAATTTTAAATTCTAAATTCCTTATGAGGCAAAAATCACGCAATGACTATTTATTGCTCCTGTAGTGTGTAATACCGAGACTGGCCTGTGAGAGGCAGCATGGTGCAACAGCTCATCCAAACTGTCAGAAAATACAATTACACCTCCCTGTCATATTTATTGTCCTAAATGACTTGGGGGACACGTTATACAAACAAACAAATTTTTTTTTTGGCTGCCTTGACCGCAAAGGAGAGAAAATGCTTACGTTTGGTCTGATTGTTGATAAGCGTGTGGCAAGCTAGAGACCTGTCTTAAGAGTAAGGACTATTCCCTCTAACTGATCAATACAGTGTAGAAAATGAGGGAAAGTGCCTACCCCACTGGCAAGTTACCTTGAAGAACATCTCACACGGGCAGCCTGGTGCTCCAGTGGTTAGCGCGTCGACCTCACAGTGCAGAGGTACCGGGTTCAATCCCAGCTCCGGCCTCCCTGTGTGGACTTTGCACGTTCTCCCCGGGCCTGCATGGGTTTTCTCTGGGTACTCTGGTTTCCTCCCAAATTCCAAAAACATGCATGGCAGGCTGCTTGAACACTCTAAATTGTGTGAGTGTGTGCGCGGATGGTTGTTCGTCTCTGCGTGCCCTGCGATTGGCTGGCAACCGATTCAGGGTGTCCCCCTCCCACTGCCCGATGATGGCCGGGATAGGCTCCAGCACCCCCCGCGGCCCTTGTGAGGATAAAGCGGATTGGAAAATGAATGAATGAATGAATGAATGAATGAACAAACAGCTCACACTTTTATTTGTCCTTGTGTCCGAATAAGTAATTGATAGATTTCAGCATGTGTAGAAAGTACCCCTCCCTGATGTTCTTTCTGCGCGTCATTCTAAATGTGTCATTTCAATGTAGTGGCATTTGCTACCTGATAAAGAAAAAGCCAAGTATTACGAGCAAGCTGAGGAAGAGAGGAGACTTCATGCCCAGCAGCATCCAGATTGGTCTTGTCGCCATAACTACGTGAGTGTGACTCTTACGATGAATGTAACATGGGACCCACTTCTGATAATGATGCATTCGATACTAAGTCATGTGTGCTTGTTTGTAGGGCAAAAAGCGGTACAATAAAAGGATCAGGGACTGAAGAGTTCGCAATGCTGCCCTCTGAAGTTGAGAAAACTGAAAAAGCAGAATGTATTGAACAGGACAGTGCATCCTCGCCACTGATTTCATGAACCATCCCAGTGTCCCTGTCACAGCTAATCCCACAAATGTAAAAACATTTTCTTGCCATCATTTGTAACCATAGCTACCATTGGTTCACTGAAAAGGTGAAAAAGGTTTTGTGTTGTAATGCAATGAACAAAACGCAAGCAATAGCTTCATTAAGAAGTTGTATTTAGCACCCTGTTATGTATTTATCAAATACTGATGACACGACACCGAGCTTATTTAGCAAGACGTATCTCATCAATTTGTAAGTACTATTTACTGGCCCGCAACCGGGTATTTAACTAGGAATTTTTGCTCTGTTACTGGAAACGAAGGTAAATAAAAGTGATCGATAGTCTTATTGATTTCATGTCTTGATGTCTCTGAGATCACAGAGCGGATGCAACAGGACTATGTTGTGGATTGATTGGGATGAGTTTTGTGTGTGTGTGTGTGTGTGTGTGTGCGTGTGTGTGTGTGCGTGTGTGTGTGTGTGTGTGTGTGTGTGTGCGTGTGTGTGCGCGCGCGCGCACGCGCGCCCTGTCAACATGTTCGAATTTTCATTATGACTCTGTTAAAAGGGCACCAGTAGCACTTCATAAATTTGACGTTTTTAAATCTGTACGAGTGGAACTCAATTGCAGTGCAGATCTTGTGGAAAGAGAAATGTTTCATGCCTTTTACTTGTTCACCTTCGGTTTTAATGTTCTTACCTGAATTCAAAATGCGGATCGTGACTTCACTACAATTTGAAAATCGGAGGTCCTGGGGTGGCAATAGTGAAATCCCGTAACTTTAATAGGTATGAAATTGTTGCAATACACAGTAACTCGCATATTACGGCCCAGTTTTCATCTCCAGGTTGTCAAACTCAAACATTACACAAAACATACACTAGAGGGCAGTATAGTCTAAAACATGCCGATGACTGTCTTCCATACAGGTTCCAGTTCTACAATGATCAAATATTATTGCACATTTAAAAACTTTGATGCTGCGTTGCAAGGGCAAGAGCCCCCTCTGTTGTTTTACATATGGTAATTACAAAATGTCCGCTGCATATCGGGCCAAAATGTAAATCACAAATGAATTGAGACTGCATTTGAATTACTGTACCAGTCAAAAGATGGGCCTTCGTTAATTGTCTTTTTTTAATAGATGGGTGGATGGATGAACAAACATATAGAAATAATAATTAGCCACGTTGATCAGTCAACACGCGTGTAGCATTGTAGTGTCACACAAATGAACAGCTGCTTCGTAAAATGCATCTTGGGAGAAGTTACTGTTCAAAAATGCCAAATTAAACTGTTCTTTTTTTCCTCAACAATATTACGCTGCGTGGACCCACACATACACGAAAAGAAAAGGCGATTTTCAAACGGTAACAGCCCGAATGCATGTTTATACATTAGCAGACAAAATCCCTGTTGTGATTCCATAAATAAATAATAACAAACGAATGATGCTGCTAATATAAAGAGACAGATATTTTTTAAAGTCACTGAAGTAGTATGCCAATAACAACCCATTATAACTAAATGGACAGTGAATTATTATTATTATTATTATTGTTATTATTATTTTTATGTGGCCCAAAGTCCTATTGATAAAACATTTTTTTCAATGCATTGAAGGATCTTTGGAGTGGAAACGGTTTGCATTTGAGCTCAGATCTTGCGCGCGTACACGTGAGGGGCGCGCACTCTCGGAGCACGGTGGTAGCTAACAGTGGAGCTTATTACAGTGGCAATAAACGAAATTAGTTTTTGTTGGGATTGAGTGAGGTTAAAATGCGGGGGGTCTTGATTTATTTACGATCAAGTGAGCTTGCAAAGGCCTTGAGGATGTTTTGGCTTTGAGAGCATTTCCTGTTTGTTTTTGCTTGACTTTTTGTCGGCTCCAAATTAATACAGATAAACAATTGTGATCATTTGGAAGGTCGTTCATTTCTAATTAGTCTTCACTTCGACACTTTCCTTCACAGGTTTCTATCGACAACAGCATGCATGGGCTAATTTATTAGTTTTTAAAATAATAACTACAATACTGACGTTGTTCTGCGCGTTCCAGTCGTTCCGTTTTTATTTGAGTTGTTCTCCTTTCGAGTGAATTCAAGTGAGACAATCCTTCATAAATTACCGACAGATAAAGTATTACACCAGGGCAACAAGAACGTCTCAAATTGGGATTAATGGCTACTTCAGCAATATAATTTCCAGCACAAAAAGGTGCTCTATGGGAGGCCAATTCTCCCGCTCTCTATTATTGCACAATTAAACGAGTGCACTCTTTATTAACTACACGATACATTGCAATTTCAATGAAGTGTGATTAATGTGACTCTTGAAAGGGTCAACCCCCCCCCCCCACACACACACACACACACACACACACACCCTGGAGAGTGGTTTTATAATGAATGTCCGTGGATGTACTGTAAAAAAATAATTTTGCTTTATTTATAATGCACAAAAGCACAATACATTTTACCACGCCGAATAACAGTATAGAGTTGCCCACTGCTTCCTGAAAGTGCCGCATTTTGAGGGGAAAACTGAACTGTCCGGTGCATTAAATAAACCTCAAAACGGGAGTTAACAACGTGACAGTTTTCTTTTAACAGACTGAAAAGCTTCCGCTCAGCTAAAGTGTGGAAAAAAAGTGACAAACCATCCACAACTTGCATCTTGACCACGTCAGGTTCATCCCCAAAACGATCAATCTCCCAAAACTTTGTCTGGCACGTGCAGCCCGCAGACCTTGGAGGCTAGTGCGCATGTGCGAAGGTGTCCGGATTGACAATGCTGGAGAGATAGCGCGTCTGGGATTGAGAAACCTAGAGGAAAAAAAAAACGTAGTAGAGAGGGGAAAACAGCAAAAAGGGAGAAAAGGGGATCCGAGAAAAAAAAAATCCAAACAAACCCACGCCGAAAGACTGGCACCATGAGGTCCAAAGGCAGGGCACGGAAACTGGCCACAAGTAGGTGCAACATCCCTTTTTTCTACTTTTAAAACATGTCATCTGATCTCATCACCGCTGTTACCAATAGCTTCTTTTGAGATTAAATTTCTTCCCGCGATATATAGGTCGGGCATCTATTAAATCATACAAAAATTGAGAGGTTGAAGGATAGAAAAAAAAAACATCCAGGAGTTTGAACGATGTCACGCGCAAAGTCTGGAGTTAAAAAAAGTTGAGCGAGAAGCCGATGGTAGAAGTTTCCAAGTCGCGGACGTGCACGCTGCATGTAGTGGGCGCTCTCGTGTAACCCATCGGAGGTGAAAAATCCCCCGTGCGTGGTCGGATTCATTGCACGCACACTGGTGTGCACAGTGCTGCTTCGGGCTGCGGGTCACTTCGCGAGTCTTGGGAGCTGCCTGGAGAGTAACCTGCAGAAATAAGCAAGAAATGAAGATTTTTTTTTTCGGGGGGTGGGGGGCGCGGGGGGCTTGGAGGGGTTGTATTTAGTACTGTAGACGCGGTAACAACTATGGGTCTTGTTTGTGATCGTGCATGTGAAAGTTTCGAGGTCTTATCCGTGAGTAATGTTTCATGTTAAATTGTAGAAAGCGAACTAAAATGGCAAACTTTGTTTGTTTGTCTTGCACGGATGTGGGATCGATTACGTTTGACGTCGTCTAACTGGACACGGTTTGAATTCATGCGGATGACGATAATTCGATTTCCAATTGTTGATTTGATTAAATGGAAACTGCCGTTGGTTTGAAACGCATTTGAAATTACATGTATTAATTTCTAACAATAGCGACAATAATTTATGCAGTGTGACGATTGATAGTGATATTTAAGCATTGATTTGATTCAATAAATTATTGATCATTTTCTCCAAGATGTTATATTACTTTTTCCCCCCTCAAAACCAGTTAATATTTCATTTGATATTTTTTACATTACTTTCTCCAGGCCACATTAATGCATGTATCATTTGAAATTGTGTCATTTGGAGAAAGTCGGTGGGTTTAAATAATAAAAGTGTAAAGTATTTTTTTTTTGTTGGTACTTATTTGTTTCTGCTGAAAAAAAAAACCATCCATTTTCAAAATACAGCGTGTGTCTGAAACGAATGTAAACATTGAAGATCAAGGAATGAGAGGCTAAATGATTTATACAACAAAGACAACATACATTGAAATGATTTTTATTATACACAATGATAGAAATACACCCCCAGACAATTTTCATCATATGACAACAATTTCCTTTTGCAGTATCGCTTCACATCCCAAAATATTATTCAAACTCATGAACGCACTCGCACAGAGTGGCGTCAGAAATCAATCGCTCAATAGCTTCACCCACGAACTCTGTTGGGGAAACGGCTCCTTGGATTTAAAAGCGACTAATTTATGAGATTTACATTCTCTGGAATCACAATGGGAGAATGGAGTGCATCCCCAGAGGAGCGGGCCCGCAGTGGCCCCTATAGCCAGGTCTGCGCAATGTCAACAGTGAATATTTAAATTCCCAGACCCCTCATAAGGGCGCTGCTGGTAAATGCGTTCAGTGTGTGTTAAAACGGCCATGTATGGCTGTGTGTTTAACGGAGGAGGTGGTAAACGTATAAGAGATTGATGGAGGCTGACTGATGAGTGCGCGCGTCCAGATGGAATGTGGTACGCCACAAAAACGCGCCTTTGGTTTCCAATTAAATATAGCCAAAATCTGCAGGCCGCACCCCGCAGTGACTTGTGGGCTAGGGGGAGATGGAGAAAGTAGCTTGGTGGAGATCCTGTTAAAGGTCCACTTCCCATATTTGAGTGCCAACAAATCCCCGGCAAATACCACTGCATATTAATTAAGGAGAGGTCAACTGATGACTTTGACCGCAGTGGATGGCAACAAGTTGCAGCTCCGATTACATTTATTTGCATGACATCCGTTTGCAACACGCGCACATCTTCGGGAATGTGGGCATTTTTATCGGATGCGCACAGTAAACGCTGGTCAGTTTTTTTGGAGGGGGTGTTTTGCGATTGAGAAAAAAGTCCGTCTGTCAACGCCTCACCTCTGCGTCGTCCCGCTCGCGTTGTGCAATGGGCCGTGCATCTCCCTCATTAAAACGCTTCATAGATGAGCCCGTTTAAAGAGTGTGTCCCCCCCCCCCCCCTGCGCCTCGGAAGTGAAATAGAGAGTCCATTTAACACGCCGTTTGTGTGCGTGTCGCGCGTGTGTGCACGTGTGTGTGTGCGCGTGAGCTCTGCCCGATGCCAAGGCTTCAAATGCTTATTGTTCTCCAACGGCCCCACTAAAGCGGGTCAACAATCGCTGTATGTTCTATGCTCCAAAATGATCGTTACTTTAAACGTGATATGAAGCAATCATTGGTGAGTGAATGACGAAGTTATTTATCTTCATTCCTTGCTTCCTATCACATCGGCGGCATTTCCTCGAAAGTTCAGCGACAACAAACTGAGGTAGCATCAGCGTTTCAAAGGCAGTGATACCTTGACTCAGAAGTATTTGTTGTAGGTGACCAAGATCGCAGCTCAACTTACTCTTAATATCAAATCAATTGCCCCCACTGGAATGAATTAAAAAGCCATTCATCAGTTTTTTTTAAAGAAAATAGCACAGTGATCCAAAATATTAAAACAATAAAAGCTAATGTTGAGAAATAACCTGTAGTTGAGGCTGAACGTCACACTCGTTGCCATTTTTGTGTTTATGTGGCCAAGTGGCACGATCTGGACTCTGCCCCGTTGGCCATTTACAACTCCTTATTTCAGTATGAGCATCTGCTCCTTGCAAGGGTTTCATTCGTTTTTTCTCTTTGTTTGCACAGTTACACAAATGTCTGAATTTGCCTTGGGGACCGTTGCTGCTGTTGTTGTTAACTCCAGCGGCGATGTATGCGACTACAACAAATGTTGAGAACATTGTAAAACAATACCTCCCTGACACTCGTGTACCGTATCGGTATAAAGGCACTTTGTATTGTTAATTTGTTGCATTTTGCGTGTGTGTGCGTGTCGTTGATCATCACCCCTGTCTGTCCGGCATGTCCCTTGGTCTCGGGGTTTCATTCTCACTCCCTCTTTCAGAAAGTGACTATCTGATGTTAATGAGTCATTTCAGTGTATCAACAGGGAAGTAAAGAGGTCAGGGGTTTGTTTACAATGGTGTCCCGTTTGAATGGCAGTCCTTGTCCTAGGCAATTCTGAGGGCGCCTCTGAACGTCTTTCTCTCAGACGACAAGGCAAAGGCCCGTAGTTATGTCACCGTTTACTGCAGCTATCGGAATTGTCCTGCATTATTTGTTAAAGTGGGTATTTTTGCTGTTGTTTGTTTCAACAACCCAGACGAGGTAGTGTGGGAACACCAATGGATGGATGGTGGGAGGAGTGTTATGCTGCGACATGCCAAGCCTGGGAACCGCTGTGTGTTTATCATTGGGAAATTGTACCAGCAATTGAACAATGAGTGAGCATTACCCCTTGCACATAAAGAAAAGTCGATTATGCTTTTGCGTCCCTCCTAAAGGTCGCAGAGTTAAAGCGAGTGGGCCCATACAAAAAGCTTGCAGTCTTTCTGCACTCCCAGTCTAGCCCAATATTTTGCCAAGGCTGAAGTCATTATCAACAGTAAAGATAAGTTGACAGTGTAGTCGTCAAACACTTGACGCGCAACCAATTTCTCATCACAAATTGCGATGAGACAAATGGCATTTTTGCTGATTTGAAATGTTCCCCTGACATCAGTTTGAGGAGTTATCAAAAGACTGCTGATGTTGCAGTCTGCCGACTTCATTGATGATGCAGTGTGAAGCTAGCGCTCCTCGACTTGTGGTAACATTTTATACATAAATCGATTGGAGAAGATAGCGTCGCGCCGACATGACATGAGAAGGAAGCATACAACGTTGAGATTTTTTTCCTGGGTTTCATGACGGCAATCTACAGCAATATGTATTATTGATGCCATTGTGTCATAAAAATGTCATTGTCTCATTGAAACCCAACTCAATGAGCTTATTGCTCAAACAGACATGCATAATCAACATAGATAAAGGTCCCAAAAATAGAATTTTCTCAATGTTTAACTGACTATCCTAAATACAGTACCCATTTCAAGGAATTTGTGAATAAATAGTAATGACACAGTACATGAATTGTCAGGATGGGCAAATTCTCTTTCATTCTTATTTTTAAACTTCATTTTTAAAAGTGATGGGATAGTCTCCGTTTGAATGTTTTGAACTCCCGTTTCAATGCCAATGTTGCGGTATAGTGAGAAGATACAAGGAGTTGCCAATTTATCATAAGATTTTTTTTCCCGGGTTTCATGACGGCAATCTACAGCAATATGTATGTTGATGCCATTGTGTCATAAAAATGCCATTGTCTCATTGAAAATTGTGATGAGAAATTGGTTGCGCGTCATGGAGGCCTGCATGTTTGGGGTTCAAGTTACTGATATCTTGTTGTCTTTCTTTAGACTCTGTAATTGAGAATGATTCAACAGCACCTCCGCTGGTTGTATCCAAGTCACGTTCTCCAATTTGCTCCAATTGACTAAACCATTCACTTAGCGACTTCTTATCGATAAATGATTCATAAATTGATTCGTCATGCCCAGCCTCTGTGGCCTGTGTGCTTATAAGGCGGAACTTTGACTCACAAGGGTTCTGTGTATGGCCAAACTCATAAATAAATGTACTCATCACGGCAATGAACTGAACTTCCATTCATTCGTTTCATCCCGCCCCCCAAAAAAACCCCACATAACCCCACAATTTACTGTTGTCGCTTTTTAACAAAGAAAAATAACTCTGTAAAATATGAATGCAAAAACATAATACAAGAGTCTGCCTCACAGTGCACATACGGGCGCGCACGCACACACACACGCACACACACACGCACACACACACGCACACACACACACACACACACACACACACTGTAGTGGGTTGATGTGAGCCCCTTTACAGGGCTTGGCTTAGTGGATGACACCAGGAGTTTTGACTGACTTACCATGTGCTTAGTTCAGTGTTCGCATCTGTTACCTGCGCTTTGCGAGTGTTTTCATTGTGTATTTTGTCCTGTTGGATTAATGGCTGAAAGTGCATCAATGACGACCCCCCCCCCCCCACACACACACACACACACACACACCCACACACATCACTTGAGTGGCAGCGTATCTGAAGCTTGGACATAATTCAAGTTTTGTCTCGCATGCATACGGAGCAGAAAATTGACCAAGTGACGGCTCATAACTCGGAAAAACTCAGAAGTTGGTGCACTTCTAAATCAAGGCAACACTCTATAGGGAATTGGAGAGTATTTACCGCTACGTAAATAATATTGCAAGAGAGAACACATGCAATCTTTTTGGTGAATCAGCTTATTGAACACTCCTGCAATTTAAAAAAAAAATGTAATTATGAAATGTCTATGCGCTGTCCCGGTGGGACTTTTGATTTGATGTCCAATTTTAGCCTCACGATATACAATATGTCTGTTTTATTCCTTGTCTCTTTCCCACTAGTAACACTTGTTCTGAAAAAATGAATTTACTTAATTTGATACACTTTTTAAGTAGACTATACTTCTACTTTAAAAAAAATGTATCTATCTATTTATATCTATCTACCAGTCTCTCTCTCTCTCTCTCTCTCTCTCTCTCTCTCTCTCTCTCTCTCGCTCTCTCTTGATAGATAGATACATAGATAGAGACATTTTTTAAAAAGTAGAAGTAATTAATTAATTAATGTTTATACTACATCTACTTTCAAAATGTATCTGGATCAAAATGATTTTATTTTGTGCAGCCACTTGACAGAATAAAATTGAGTAAATTCAACACATCGTTTTTTTTTCCCCCACTGAAGTTAAATATATATTAGTACTGTTTTGTTTGTTTAATTAAGTAGCACCCATTTGCCTGTAGACCTTGCCAAGCATTTCATTCCTTTCATTTAGAGTTGACAGAAAGAATGGGCCCTTTCCTCATTATTCACTGGAAAGGGAACATTCTCATAAACAGGAATTATCCAACAATTGCTTTACCAATGTGGTGATAACAGCATGTTCCAGCGCTGCTTGGGGATCTCCCCGCGTAGATCTTCCTGGCCTCAAGCCTAAAATAAGTACGTAAATGAGCGACTGAAGAATGGGAGTGGGAGATAGTTGGCTGCAGTTAGCACATCTTGATGGGGCCATCAAGATGTGCTGTCACATTAGTAGCTGACAGCAGTGAGCACATCCTTGTGTTTGTGTGAATACTGTATACCTTTCAGTTGCGACAAGCCCGATCTACTCACAAAACTCATTAAGAAGTGACCCCCTCACCCTTACAAGACAGGAGCGATGAGAGGAGGAGATATGATCAAAGCTTGGGCCTTCCTGTTGACATCTGGACTGGGCTGCAACATATGCATGCACCTGATGGAACGTGATAGCGGCTGTCTGGCAGTCACTGCAACACTAATAGTCAATAGTGGCAGTGGGAAATACTTTATTGTCTTCCTGGGGTTGTTTATTCACTCCGTTGCCGATGGGCAAAGAAGTCCACCATGGGGAGGCCTTTATTAGCGCAAACACATTTTTAGAAGAATACTAAACAGCAGTACCTGGTGATTACTGTACAGTTGACGCAAAACGAAATCAGGTCTGTGTAGGTCTGTGCTCATGCCAAAGTGTTCTTGGTCAACCAAGGTCACAGCAGAGGAAAGAATGTGGCTGGAGAAAGGAATGCAAGGTTGATTAGCGCTTCTTACCTGTAAGTGAACTGGACGTGCCGGCATGTGATGAGACCGAGGAAATAAGGGAACAATAGGACAGTAGAGATTCCTTTCCACACCGCATTCCAGCGATCCTTCAGCCAGGGCCCCCTACTCAGAGCTTTGATGAACCCTTCTCGCAGCTTCCTGGGATTGTCGCTCCTCCACAAACACAAAAACATAAAGCGGCTGGTGAGCAGGGCCCTCCTCAGGATGTCCTGTTTTGATTAGTCTTAGCATCCTAAAAGCACCATAGAAATATTATTCTAACAAGGAGAGAAGCGTAGCTGTGACACATCCACTTCTTTCCACTCTGTGACCCGAGGGGTCAGATGCACTACATGCGCCAGAAATCAAAGAGGTGCTCCTCACCCAGCGATATTACCGAGGAAACGGTGACGAAAACAAGGCGATAAAACGATAGCGAGAGGGTTCAGGTCCTGTCAACAGGTGGAAGTTTGTCAGGCCAACACTTTCCAAATACAGTACCTGTTAATAACTGACACATGTTGACACTGTTGAGTCTGTTTTCTCCGATATGTTCCACATTAATCTTGAATATAATATTCAGATGTGTACACCGTATTTTTCGGATTATACGTCGGTCCAGATTATAAATCGCACCTGCCAAAAAATGCATAATTAAGAAGGAAAAAACATCTAAGTCGCACTGGAGTATAAATCGCATTTTTGGGGGAAATTTATTTGATAAAATCCAACACCAAAAACATACATGTCATCTTGAAAGGCAATTTAAAATAAAAATAAAATAGAGAACAACAGGCTGAATAAGTGTACGGTATACTAACGTTACATGACTGACATGCCTGGTAATGTCAGTAACGACTTAACATATTAAGAGTTATTCAGATACCTCTTGCATAAAGAACATGCTAACAAATTTACCAAACTATCAGTTTCACTCCAAATCACAAAATCCAATGAAATCTTCATCCTCGGTGTCACTTTTAAACAACTCCCCCAACTCGGGAGGTAGATGATGCGCCGCTTCTTCTTCTACGTCGCTTACATCAGACTCATCGCCGATTTATCAACACAGGCCGAGAGCGCCTTCTTGTGGTTTAATGTGAAAATAACATGTGAAATGACATAATCATGTGTGAATAATTTCACACATAAGTCGCTCCAGAGTATAAGTCGCACCCGCGGCCAAACTATGAAAAAAACTGCAGCTTATAGTCCGGAAAATACGGTAAATTATGGCAAAGTGACATATTTGCCTGGCATCAACAACATGAAGTTTCTGGAATGTGTTCTGTCTATCTATCCATCTATCCATCTATCTATCTATCTATCTATCTATCTATCTATCTATCTATCTATCTGTTTGTCAGTCCGTCCAGTGTGCCTTTTAGTGTGGAAAATACGGTAACAAATGCTATGGTTGGTGTGCTGTACATGTTTGATCTGATGGCCGGTAATTCAATTGGCCACTTCATTAGGAACACCTACACAACCTAATGAGATCCTTATCAAAATTCAGTCTTTAAAAAGATAATACTGCTCAGTTTTCCAGTGATCGGGATTAGTAAATTGTCATTATTATGGTGGCTGTACTTCACTGCACTGCATCCTAATCCGAAGTGTTTCTCTATTCGGTTGACCTTATTTAGCTACACGGGGGTGAAATATTAGAAACACAAATAATGTATATGCTGAGTCCTCGTTATGACTTGCAGTATCCTCTTTCAGCAGTCAACTACATCTTTGCTGTCTCCTGTGGAATCAGGGAGCAGTGAAGCATTGCAGCAGAGTTTGTTGTTTTGGTGGAGCATGAGGGCTTTAGTTTGACAGGAGGGCACCACTTTGTTCACCTCGGTATCCAAAAGGGACCCCTTGGGGTTGAGGCCCGGGACGTCTTTGTCAGGGCTGTGGCAGGACCAGGGCAATGGGGGGGCTCACTGCTCACTGGGTCAGTGGACAAGCTAATCGATTTTATCTCCGTTTCACACATGCCGCCAAACCCCTACTGGTCTGATATTCACAATGTTCAGAGGATTATTCTCCCTCCATCTCCTCTCTATCTCCTTTTCTCGCTTTGCTGCTCTTTCTCTCCCACCACATTTCGTGTATTTTTTCATCTATCACTCCTGCGTACTGTTTTGTCTGTAACTCTTTCACTGACCCCCCCCCCCCGACCCCCACCTCTTGCCAGCTCTTTTTCACACACCCTTAGGAGGGAACATTTTAAATTTAGTCTCAACATTGGTCTCTACATTGGCACTCCCCATGAGGGAGGCTAACGCGAGCAAGTGGAGGGACTCTTATTTTCTTGACCGTTGCTCAAGATGAGGCGTTGGAACAAGGGAATGAAAGCTTTGGGAAAGGTCTGGAAACTTCACATTCGTCAGTGTAAGGAGATACTGCGCTGACAGTTAGCAGACCGCCGGCCAAGTACAACACACGATGGTCATGTCGGTCTACTGCGCTCTTCCAACAGACAGACTCAGTTAGACCAGACCAAATAGCACTCTCATCTCATTTTAGGACATGTTAGTATTTTAGGCCCTCTGGCTGTCTTGCAAATAGAGAGTAAATGAAGGATTATGGGTTACGGTAAGAACTAATTCAGCTGTCAATGTTGAACAAGGGGAAACAAGCACTGAATAAATCTTATAGTAACTTGAATTACAGCCCGGAGAGCTCAGATCTCCACCAAGGCCATCCGATATTAAACATATCTTGTTGCTCTTTGATTGAAAAAAGATTTTTTTTGGTGGTCCCACTGCTATTGCCCTTCAATCCTGTAGGTGCACATAATGCACATTACAAAGTGGATTGTACCTGAAAAAATACATGATGGAGGACCACAGGCAAGGGTGCATGCATATAAGAGGTGCATAAGCGCGCTTGTGCGGATAAAAATTAAAATCACGCGCACCAGATCTAAGGAAATTAGACACACAGTTCCATCCATCCATTCTTTTATTGCATTGCGTGTCCTCAATAGGGTCACTGTACATGTTAAATATCGCAATGATATTGCTATCGCTACATATTCAACACCCATATTTACCCGTTATCCATGCTCATGAAGCTCACGGATAACTGGAAAATACCCCACAAAAGAATATTTCAAGGGTGGGACTTATTGGCATTACCAAGCTTTTGCAGTTTTTGAATTCGCAACTAAATAGCTTAGAAGTCTTATTCGTGTTAGACTTGAATAATTCATTATTACGGAGTTGTTTTGTTTTTTTTTTTAAACACAAATTGCATTTATTTATTTATATGTTTTTAAATCGAACTTGCTGTTGTGCTCGTGCTCACATGGTCTTTTGTTCGAAATAATACCAAATTGTATCTCTATGTTATGGATCAGATCCAGATGTAAATATCTTGGGGAAAGAAAGATGAAATGCTGATCTCATGTCTCATTACCATCTTTTGACATCATACCAAATGTTTTTTTTTTTTCGACAGACATTTCATGATTTTTGGGGGTAGTTTATTTATGTTTTCCGAGTATGATAAATTACTAAATTGCTCTGGCTATCTCTGTAGCACAGATTAGGTTAGGCTGCACTATGCATATCAAATGGTCAAACTATGATATCCAGTAATTTGACACACAACTTTATGTCCTTCAAATGAAACTTAATCCATCAGAACATTAGCCACTCTAAAGTTTTGCAGTATTTGAATAAATTAAGGAATTTGGTGAGCCCTTCAAGTTATTCACCTTTACATTTCTTCCCGGGAATTTGGTGAGCCCTTCAAGTTATTCACCTTTACTTCCCATGTTCATTAATATTTCATATTTTCATTGTATGTCTACTTTTTTTTCTGCACTATTCTTTCCCTGTTGCTCATTGCAGCCAATCCCTGACCATAACCTATCAATCAGGGACGGTGGCCAAAATGTACCGTAAATCTACCTTCAGAGGTAATACATATATAAGAAAAGATTTATCTGCACCCATAAACACCATGGCCTACATACGCAATATGTATCCATATTTTCAAGGAATTTCGCAGTTCACATATGCAATATAATATAATTAGATACAGCATATAATATAAGCACTCTTATCTGAGCTGAGCAGGGATATGGGCACATCATTTTACATTGGAGAATATGTAGGCCTGTCGCTCGGAGGGTACCCCGAAAGTACTTCTTTTTACACTTTTACATCTTGGGAATTTACACATTTCGGATACAAATAGTTGCATTGGAGTCCGATAATTAGCTCTACGGAATCCCCCTGTTTGTGAAAGCGTGTTGTTTGACTGGGCACCACGAGGTGGGGCATTGCAGGTATGACCAACCATTAATCGCTGACATGTGACAGTTCAATCAAAAAGGGGTCGAGTGGTGCAGGTGGAGGATGCCGGTTAGCATGGCAGATCATTCTGTGGCTTGGAAGCAGCCAGACGCATCAACAATCAGTGGCAAAAGATGCATCGGGGAGACGGCAAAGTATAAAGGAGAATCTGAGGGTTGTGAAAGATAGATTGTTAGAGAATCACTGGAGGTCAGGATGAAAAATGAAGAGGGGGGTTGGTATCACTGGCAGGAAGACCTGTTCATAGCCTGGGGTGTGAGTGACTTACTGTCATTCATCGAGAAATGTTTTGCTTATTTTCATATCATTTGACTAATAATGGTAAAGACACTTGTCAAAAAAAATGTTTGTATCACCATGTTTTATGTAGCTGTGGTTTAATATGAGGAAATGCATCCCATGCTTCAAGTCCTATTTTTCAGAAATCATTCATGATGACATTTTGAAGGCATCATAGGAAAGAGACAATCAAGAGATAAATCCACTGCTTTCATGGCAGTTCGAGGAAAATGTAAACTGAGCAACAAGATTTCTTAAACTTGTACAGGAAAACAATCATAAACAATGGTAACTTTTATTCACAAAGAACAACTTTATTCAGAACGAAAACAAAACCAGCAGTTGACTTATCAATTGGTGGTAAAACCTTACAGAATGATACTTTGAACAATGACAGTCATTGCGTAACTAAGCTATACAAAATAAAAACACAATGATTAAAGACTCCCATCCTTTAGAACAGGGGTAGGGAACTCGGGTATCTTCGAGAGTCAATTCCTGCCTGTTTTCGACCCCTCCCTACTCCAACACACCTGATTC